CCGGAGCAATAGTAGAGCATTTAAGGTTTGGTCATTTAGCCTACTCCTTATTTTACTTCCCAAATACCCAGGTGCAGAAAATGCCCGCTCAGGTTCGATGCTCGTCGGTGGAATAGATAACAAATATTGGTATACTAATTCCAAATTATGCCCCCGGTTTCCACCCTTTTCAAACAGATGCATTTCTTTCTTTATGATTGACATTAAATTTGAAGTTTGTGTTTCTAGTTCAATGGCATTCATGCTTTGTGCAATTTGTTCTTGGAACTTTTCTCTTAAAGACAGGGAGGCTCGAACTTGTGATTCTTCATTTCTAACGACAGCCATTATATTTTCATCAACATCAATACTTGATTTTTCTAAATTATCATTTTTAAAAGCAGTTAGTCTCTCAATAAGTTTTTTTATCTGCTTCCTAATAAGGGTTTTAGGAGGAACTCCAAAAATTTGGCAGACATTTGTTTCATCATTCACAGCATCATATTTTGGATTTTGAAGGTATTTTAAAACACCAGAAAGTTCTTCACATCGTCTTTTTTCCATTCTTGTTTTTATAGCTTGGAACATTTTATTAGCAAAGGGAGATTGTTTTTGAGCAATCTGCTGGAATAAAAATATAAGTACTGCATCTGCAGTGATTAGCATCTTGTCTGCATAACGCATCTACTGCTAATTTGACAGGTGCAAGTACTCCTATTATTTCCGAAAGAACCACAAAATCACTTTCGTTTAAGGAAACTGGGTAATTTAAGTCAATTAAAGCTTTCTGTATACATGTTTTTAAAGCAAGGAAACGCTCTAGCATCGATAGAAGAGAGTTCCATCTTGTTTTGCAATCCAAAATGCTGCCTTTTTCTTCTTTGACATATTTTTGCAAGACTGCATCATTTTTTGTCGGGAATCGTTTAAAAAGAACAACTACCTTACGGGCTTTTTTCACTAGTTCATTGATATTTTGTTCATTGGTGAGTAAATCCATATTTGCTATCCCATCATTTGTTGGGGGAAGAAAGCCTAATCCCATTTCCTCGTCGATATTTTCTTCATCTTCGTGATCATCTGTTTCATCAACAATATCTTGAGTTTCCTTCAATAGTGCTTCGGTGTCGGACATTAGCGTAGAACTTTTTTTATAAAGAACATCACAAACTGCAAGGTGAATTCCATGGACTAAACACAACTGGTGTTCAGCCTCAATAATTTTTCCCACACGAACCATTATATTTGGACCATCCGTAACAATAGCAACAATGTCTGTATCAATATTAACATTATGCTCCTTTAGACGTGTTTTTAAAACATTTCTCAGCATTCATAGAACCATATACACAAATAAGACCTAAATTCCAGTACTTATTTGGGATATGTACATTAATATTCATGTATTTTTTATTTGTTGTAGTGGTCCGTTCATCAAAGCTCTGAGAAAATCGTGTTCCCAAAGCTTTATATTGATAAATTTCTTTGGAAATTAACTGTCTAATATTTAAGCTGTAACTCACCACTATCCTTTTAATTGAGTTTGCTGACTTGGGCAAATTTTCGAAACCACTGGTAATCAGTAATTGCCTTAAATCTTTTGATGTTATAAATACATTAAATGTTAGCCCATCTAAAGCTGTCATTCGAGCCAGTGTTTTGTCTAAGTTTTTTTTTTTCGGATGCAAAGTAACTCGTTATTCTTCGTTTCGTAGGAGGTTTCTCGTCGGTTCTGGCATCATTCAACTGTTGACTCGAACTAGGTAAATTTTTGTCGGCTGAAGTTACTTTCTAATTATGCTTAGTTGATAAGTGCGTATGAAGGCCTTTTGTAGAACCACCCAATGTTTTCAAAATTACACCGCATTTCTTACATTTTGCTGCCAAATTATCTGCAGACTTCAAATAATGTGACCACACTGAAGTTGGGTCTTTATCTTTTTTGTGTAGAAAAAATGATGTTCTCTTTTCACTGTTTTCATTCATGTTTAGAAGGATATTTTTTAGAAGGATATTTAGAAGGATTATATTTAGAAGGATTATATTTAGAAGGATTATATTTAGAAGGGTATAAAATGATGTTCTCTTTTCACTGTTTTCATTCATGTTTAGAAGGATATTTTTTTAAGGTGCATTAGTAAACAACATATTATTGCGGTAAACAACAAAAGCATTAAAAAGGTTATCAGTTCAAAACGTTCAAAACGATTTATTCCACAGTCAAATTTTGTATGTATTCACACTAGAATTCCTTCAGGCGGAATTAATTGTCAAGGGCATTATAATGTTGCAATAACTAATAATTGTACAAATATAATTATACAAATCGCTAGAAATATCCCAAAGGGAATTGTTATGTAGTAATCATTAAATTTTTTTAGATATAATTTTTTTTTATTACTTGTTCATTTTTATTTTTTTCATTCTCTAAAAATATTTTTTGAAATGAACAAAACGACTTAATAAACTCAAGCAATCACTTAACCACAAATTCGCTCAACAATTTTAAAATTTATCTTTTTAACGCGAGAAGTCTTGCCAACAAACTTAACGATTGTTTTTTATACAATAGTCGAACATACCTGCCTTAATTTGTGTTTGTGAAACTTTTTTCAATGATAAAATCCCGAACTCCATGCTCTATTCAAAAATTTTTCCATTTATCGTAAGGATAAAGCATAAACAGGATAAACCTGCAAAGCAGCATTATATAACTCGTTATAATTCAGTATAGTTACCAACTTTGAACATTTTGTTTTACAAAATAATTTAATTAGTTCAATCCTGCTATAATCCCGAAAATCCCGGGATTTTGTGTTTAGAATCCCGGGATTTTCGAGAACCAAAAACGTCCGGGATCTCGTGATCTCGGGATCCGGGATCCCGGGATTGCAATCCCTATCTGGTGCACGTGCACCCCTTTTTTAATTAATTCTTCTAATTCTTTTTTTTTTTTTTTTTGCTTCAAGAAGTCTTTATGGTCTTATCATAGAGCACCGTGGATGAGTATTTAAAAAGAAATTCACGCCTCTTTTCTTACTGATGTTATAAAACTTTCCAAGACAAAAACCGCGGTGGTGCAAAACCGCGGATCTCTAGTTTCTGAAGCACGCGCGCTAACCACTGAGCTACGGCTGCTCTCGTTAAAAACAATCAGTGCAGTAAACTTTAAACTTTCAATGCAGAATTTTTCTTATGAGTGAACGATATAATCTTTCAATATAAAAAAAGTTAAAATAAGGTGGTCATTAAAATAGTTTTAAAGTAACTTATCCATACCATTACCATTCATCAAATTGGGTATGAGCATTGATTCTCAGTTTGATTGATTTTGTGGATTTCAGATAATATTATTTTTTGACTGAAAAAGAATGATTTGAATTTTATTATCATCGAGCTTATATATACACATATTATTAGATCTTATATATACACCAATTATTAGAATCTTATATATGCACATATTATTAGATCTTATATGTACACACATTATTAAAATCTTACATATGCACACATTATTAGAATCTTATATATAAACATCTTATATATACACATATTATTACAATCTTATATATATATTTCTAGAATGTATTATATAAGACTATACTGAAAATAAATATAACGTCTTTTGAAAATCAACTTCAAATCCTGAGAGTCAAGCAGTGATGAGGGGAATCAAGCAGTGATGTGTGTGTGTTTTTGAACTTTTTGTTTTTTCTTAACTCATTAACTTGTATCATTTAAATTTTAATTTATTTTTTTAAAATTTTTATAAAGTTTGGTTTTTAGTTTATAGGTGTTTTATGTAAGTTTTTCAAAATTTCGTAACAACAAAAGTTTGTTTAGATATTTTCAAGGTTTTAAATTTTATTAGTGGTAAACAAAACGGAATCTTTTTCGAAACCATGGTGATACAAAACAGATGGAGATTTTGATGAAAATAGACATCAACATTTAAATTTTAGAAAATAACAAAAAAATTTTAATTATTAATTTAATAATTTTATTACTATTATTATCTTTCGCCATATGTAAATTATTTACAAAACTAGATTTGAATAAAATGATATAAAGGCTGGGGCAAGAAGAAGACAAATTCAAGCTTAAATACTAAAAAAATTATATTGAGTACATTTACAAAAGTTGTAAACTATGTTAAAATTTAAAAATTAAACAATATTCTTTGTCAAACAAGATTTTTGCATGTTTTTTATAAAACAGTTACTGCAGATAAATTCAGTTAATGAAACTTGAATGAAAACAAAATAATTTCCAATGAATTAAAATTAAAATCTTAAAATAAATTTTTTTTTCGTTTAAATATTACTCAAATTAAAATTTCAACAGTACCATGCTCTCGGTACCATGCTCTCAGTACCATGCTCTCAGCACGCTAAGCTGTCGGAAAGAAAAAATGATTGTTATTAGGAATGAAAAAACATTTAGTTGATGTTAGTTTGATTAAATCACATAATTAGAAAATCTGCATATTATTATAAATCTTTTTAAACGTGTTATAAATTTAATTTATAAATTGTTATAAATTTTAGGTTTCGGTTACTGAGATTTTGGCTGTAACCAGTTTGACTGTAAGAACAAAGCAGCTATATATATTTTTTGGTACAAATACATAAAATTTTTCACCAAAACTGAAATGTTTCGATCATTATATTTAATTTTTAATTTTTAATGACTTTGAGTTGCTAAAATGCCCATATGAGGTGTGAGATTATTTGACTTAAAATTTAGATAAGTTGAGTTAAGACTAAAGGCAAGTTAGTTTTTTTGTTCAAAGAAAAAAACTGATTGTTTTTTCCAGAGTTTTTTTGCACCCAGTACTTGTACCACTCAACTGGTAAGTAAAAATCAGCTCAAATTAGCGACCTGCTATTATGAACTAAAATAAATAAGATTACATTGTAATGAATTGACACTTGCTTACAAAATGTTGCATATACGTTCTTTTTTTTTTCTTTATTTATTAACTTATTACTAATTTTTTAATAAAATTTTCTTTTTAGCTCAAAAAACTTCATCGTAAAGAGGAAAACGAAAAAAAATTAGACATTTATAAATGTAATAGAGGAAAACTAAACTCAAAAAAAAGCAAATGTAAGTATTTGAAAAATAGTTTGGTAAGTTTTGATAATATAATTTTTATAATTATACAAATAGTATAATTATTATTCAAAATAACCTTTCAAATCATTGTTTTTGGTTGAATACAAAGCTAAAACTCATATTCGTATTTTTAGCGCCATCACCAAAGAAATTTTCTTCAAATGAATTCAATAAAATAACCAGTTCAGTTGATGCAAACGACCAACCAAGCTCTCCGTATTTGCAATCTCGGGAAATTAAAAACAATAAAAAAACATTACAACCATTTCTTTATCAAAAATCACCTATATTTACAGTACCTGATTGTGATACAGTTCGGCATCAATCAAAAAGTTGTGAAACAACTATGCATCAACCAAAAAATGCAACAAATTTCAAATATACGTATGAACATAGTGTTAAGTCTACCGCATATACCCCTGTACATAATAACACGGTTATAACATATACCACTGGACAAATTTCTAATATTGGTAACAACTTTGATGAAAATATAATGACCAACAATAATGTTTCAGTGACAAGAAATTATGATACTTATCCTATAAACAATGCTTCATCGATGAATCAATTATATTCGAAACACGTTAATTATCCTTTAGTCAATCAATGTCATTTAATGCCGCATCTAATCAACACATACCTGTAAAAAAAAAAAAAAAAAAAAAAAAAAAAAAACGAAAATAAAAATATACACAAATAGAAATAATTTTTTACCATTCTTTTTTTCAGAAATGGGAATACAGCCCCCGTAATCGTATTATTAAGTGATGGGGATACAGTATCCCGTAATTGTATTATTAAAATGTATTAAAAAAGTAAGATCAAAGAGTACAATTAAAATCGTCGATTGTAAAATATGTTGCAGTAAAAAGAGGTAGATAGAAAAATTTAAAATTTTTTTGAATTCCTTAAAGTCGCAAAGCTATTAAACTTTTATATTAAGGATATAGTACGTTTATAAGTATGTGATGGTGGATTTATAAGCATGAGATTGTATGTTTATTTGTATGCAATGGTGCGTTAATATAACTGGCAAACGGTTAAAAACTATTTGCTATTGACCTAATTGTCAACGGCAAATAGTTTATAACCAATAATAACGAGTTTTAAACTCAAAGACACATTTTTGTACAAATTATGAGAAATTTGAGAGACATAGCAAAAAAGTAAATTAAAAAGTATATAAATAGAAGGAATAAATTACAATTCTGTGTGTGACTTTTTATTTTTATTTTTTTTTATTTTTATTTTTTTTAACAGTTAGAAGCTGGGATTTATAATAATATGCACAATATAATGATTTTCTTAAAGAATAATTATATCAAAACTATTTTTATTGTATTTTAGGCTACCAGAGTGTTTAAATATGTATATTTTTATCATTTTGTATATTTCTTGTGTTAATGTCGCAATACTTTTGAAAATATACAATGATTTTCTAAACGCTTTACTATAGCTAAGTATTTAGTGATTGCTATTTCTATTATAAAATATATTAAATATGAGTTAGGAGACCGGGGCTAGTTGGCCACAGGGGTAAGTTGCCGAACTGAGTTCATTTTTAGAGTCTTTCATCAGAAAGTGACAAAAACTACACAGAACACATTACACAGAACCTTCCTAATTGACCATTTTATCATTCACTATAGTATTGCCAGGATTCGCGGGAGATTTTTGGAACATCGCTTCCATTTTACTTTACAAAGAAAATAGTTAGTCGTATGAAAAAAAATTTTTGTTAAAGTTTCAGTCACAATTAGTTTACTATATCCAGTCAGAATTTTTTTAAAGCTGCCGTTTTTCAGGATCTATAGACTGTTTATTGAAAAAAAGGCTTTCGAGGTAAGTTGGCAAAATTTTCACAGGGTAAGTTGGCTCATAGCATCTACTATTGAAATAAAAAATATATTTTTTAAATTAATTTTTATTCTAAATTCTTAACAATATTGAAAAAATTTATTCTTACAAATAAATTAAAAAAAATTCTTTTGCAGGTTTTTTCACAGATAAAAAGTGAGCTACTGTTTTGGTTGTTATACGTACTAATATTTGGTACCAACTACAAGTAATATTGATTTTTTGGCTTAAATTTGTTGCCAAAATTAATTGTAAAAATATTTCTTTTAATTTTGCACTTAATAGTACATTAATAATCATTTTTATAGTTTGCGCCAACTTACCCCGTAATAGGGTAAATTAGCGCAATTTTTTTTTTTTTTTTGAAGGCCCGGGAAGGCCGCAAGAATTTTTTTCTGTAAACAAATGCAAATTTTACAAGTTACCTAAATTCATACTCTTTGAGACTACTCTCTAATATTTTCAAAAAAATGCGCTGCTAGGGCTACATAGCTCATATCCTTTTTTTGGCATTTGTTTTTGATAGTTACGTTCTAAGTGTCTTTTAAACGTCTTTTAAACGTTCTCTATGTAAGAATGTTTAGAAGACGTTTAAAAGACATTTAAAATACATTTAGAAAGTAACTTTAAAAAACAAATGTTCGCTGGGTAGAATAAAAACCGAGCCAACTAGCCCCGGTCTCACCCATAACATTTTACTTGTAATACTTGAAAGCAAGATGCGATGGGGTGTTCACCTTCCCCCTCTCTTACATGATTTGAAAAAACATTTTCTTGTATTTAGTATTTGTTACTTTTTATCAAAAAAAGTATACTTGATTTGTTGATTGTTTTAACTTATATTACAAATTCTAATGTACGACTTCCCGATTTTGCAAAAAGGTCAATCACGTTTTCAACATTTATTTGAATTTGTCTGTGCACATTAAGTAAGGCCAATCCGACTTGCCTGTTTTCTGTCATTCGTGTTCTCAGCCAACTTTTAATTCAGTGTTGAAAAGCTACACTTGGACTTGATAATTTGAAACGAATTGTGTGTGATTGGATATTGCACCTGGTCACACAAATCAAAAACAGCAAAAAGATCAGTAGGTAGTGATGTGATTCCTCCCTCATCTTTCATCCTTTTACATATGCACTGCCATAGTTCAACTTGCAATGTAAATTCAGGTCCAGGTATATTTTGGATACCAAGTATGACGCCACAGACATAACTGATTGCAGAAATAGTTTTAACAATATCTTGATGATTCAGTGTAATAATATTTTTTGGTATCAAAGCATAGATTTAAAGACATTATAAATTTTCATTATAAAAACGTGTATTTATGTCCAATATCGACGCATCAAGTAGAGCGATGTAAATTGATCGCCTGTAATATTCTTCTATTGTATCTGACGGTATAATTTCACAACATGTTTGTTGTTGTATTCTTTTGTAGGTAAAACTATCATCTTTTTCAATTATTGTTTTTTCTGCAGCTCTAAAAATTTTTTTGCAGTTTTCACTTTTATGTTTTAAAATATAAATAGGTATTTATTGCAACTTTTTGCTTTATGTAAATCTAAATATTTTTTTTGAAACAACTGACTGATTTGATAAGGAGAACACATGTACTGCACAGCCTAAAGATAAAATTTTCTCTAATTGTTAATAATAAAATTCTTGCTTTTGATGAAGGTGTTGTGAGCTCAATATTAAACGGCAGCAAAGCATCATGTCTGTTGTGAACTTATCCTTTTTTATTAATAAAATTTTGTTTTGCAGAAGCATTAACTGTTTTAGGGGGTTATTAACGAAGTTGTTTGCAAAAGCAACAACTTCGCTAATAAATTCCTTTTCGCTTTTTAACTTTCAATGAATTATATAAAAGTAATTCAATTAACTTGTGATGCGCAAATTTTAAACTGTTATAAAATTTTTACTCCTGCGTTTTTTTTTTCTCCTGTAAAATCTGAAAAACATTAAAAAAAATAAAATTTATACATAAAAATAAGTACAAGATATGACAGAAAAAGAATAATATTCAAAAAAAAATTATACTAAAAAGATTTGTGGGATTGCTGAAAAATTGCCCACTTGATGGTCTGGATCCGCCCCTACTCGCAAGTAATTTATTTTTACAAAACCAACTACATAAACTCGACAAGTTTGCAAGTTCTGCACGTGACTTTCGTGTGTGACCGTGCATGAATTGAATTTAAACGATTATTGATAATGACTCTAATGCAATCCTGTAACTTTCTGGAAATTTTTACTAATATATACAAATTATTTATAAAAAAAATGCTGAAACTTATATTTTGCAAGAAAGTTTTTTTATCTAGTAACTAAGATTGGTCCTTTTCTGTTCCATTCGTAATTTTGTTTCAAACCTAATTTATTCTTTGATAACATTACTAATGTATACCATTTTTTGTTAACAAAATATTTATGTAGATCAGAATTTAAATGAGAGTAAATTTGAGAATTATTATGGAGAATTACTTAATTATTAAGGAGATTAGTTTAACTATTAAGGAGATTAATTTAATTATTACAGAGAGTTTAATTATTAAGAATGGGACTAATAAGAGTATTTCAATTATTTAGAAATTAATAAACAAAAAATTAAGAAAATAATTGACAAAACACAAACGACTTTCTGTGCATAATTTTTTTTGAAATACCCGAAAGCCAGTATCAAGTGTATACCCTCTAGATTAGTAAATGTAAAATAAATATTGTGCATGAGGAAAGATACAGAGTATGCATAACAAACATTCCAGTATTAATAAATAAAAGCAGCAGGAATGTTGTTTATTTATTTAATTCCTAAGTAATTAAATAATCATATAATAGAAAGTTGGAACGGAACTAAATCTGAACTTTAAGTATGAACAACAAACTTTTGTTCAACATTTTGTAAAAAAAGATGTTTTACAAAAATCAAGCCCATTGAAAGTCTTTTTCCAAAAAGGAAGTTTATTTGTTATATAATTGTTCTGGCATAAAAGTTATTTATTAAGTCAATCTAAATATTTCTAAAATAGCTTTATTATCTTAAAGTTGTTTATAAATACATATTAACTAATAATATTTCCTAATATTTCAACACTCAATGTTTCCTAATATTTTAACATCTAATTATAACGATGACAAACATAGCAGCAATAATAATAAAAATAGTAATAAAGCTAATAATAACAGTTACTATGCCAACAACAATAACAAAGTTAATTCACTTTTTTATATAGAAACAGCAGTTTTGTCCTGCTGAGATTAATTGTGATTAAAAATGATAAAAAAGCAAACTTTGGAAAATATTATATTAAGTATAAAATCTGGCTCCTCCTCCTATTTACTTCTTCAATAAGATTTTAGGTGCGTATATATATATATATATATATATATATATATATATATATATATATATATATATCTTTAAAAAGTACTGACTGTTTTCTAAAAAAAAAAAGAGGACCTCAAAACTTCCATCATCTCTTTTTGCACCTACTATTATCTCTTTATGTATTTATGTTATATTGTTTGCACCACTTAATTTGTACCTAGTATCATACTTTTTTTTCACATTATACAGTTTTTCTTTTTACATTTAATCTTTTTTTGCTTATATGATTGTATTACTGTTATTTTTCTTTTTAAACAAAAGTTTGAAAAGTTATTAAGCTGAAACAATAGCTTATAAGTTATTAAGTAGCTTACTTTTCTTTTTTGAAAAGATCATCTTTTTCGCATTGAAAAAACCTTTTGTATCAATGTGAAATTGTTTCTATTAATTGTGTTTAAGTTATGCGTAAATATAACATATTTTACGCACACTATACATAAATATACATTTACAAAATTAATAACCTCGAAATAACTTCGACTACTCATCCAAAGATAATTTAAAAAAATCTGTCAACATTAAATACCAATAATTTCTCACAAAATCATTGAAGAGAAATGAGAAAAAGAATGCCATTATGTTAATGAATGTCATAACATTATTGAAGTATATAAGGCCTTTTTAAAAAATTATTTAAATATATATATATAATAAAACGTATCAATATTAAATTACAAAAACAAAAACAATTGCTAACCCCCTGGATATACAAAAGTTTAGTAAAATGTTTTACTAGAAGAAAACCATTTACTAAATGAAAGAAGAAAACGAAATCTCTAGAACAAATTTCTCAAAAATAGAAATATCAAAAAAACAAAAAAATGCAAAATAATACAAAACAAATGCAAAAATTATAAATTTTTTTACCAATGCTTACTTAACAAAAAATTATTTTATGGTTTCGAATTTGTTGGCCAAATAACATTTCATAGTATTGAGCTTGGCGACCAAATGTTTTGAAAAAAAATATAGTTTTCACTAGGATTATTTATAGATCTGTCAAAAGCATTTGACACAGAGATCACTTCATACTTTTAACACAGTAGATCACTTCATACTTTTAACACAGTATATCGCTTCATACTTTTAACACAGTAGATCACTTCATACTTTTAGAAAAAAATAAATTATGGCGTAACAAACAAAACATTTAGCTACTTACTAACTAATAGCAGTATGTAACTTTTTTTTATCTTACTAACCGGAAACAGTATGTAGCCTGGGTATGGGTCAATCCGGGTTCTGATGAATTAAAGATTTTGTGGTAAGTTTCACAAGGTTCAATTTTTGATCCACTCCTATTTCTAATTTGTATAAAAAACTTCATTGATGTAAATGTAAATATAAATTCATTTAGTTTGGCATGCTGACTACACTAATTGTTTATGTCTAATAGATTCAGAGCTAGCAAGCTCTCAATAAAACGTAAATAAAACTCAATAGTCAAAACAGAAATAGTTAGCTTCCTAAAGTCTTAAATTAATATACTTCAATCTAATTTATAGCTACATCATTTATGGTAACATCACGTGGACTAGCACACAGCCTGCCATACCTCAAAAAATATTTAGCGTGCAGTAACATGCTAGCAATATTATAAATTACATAGTATATACCTAAAAAATAGATTTGAGCATGCCAAGCCATTAAGAAGGGAAATAAAAATAATGAATGTATATAAAGCAAATGAATGTGTATGAAGTAAATTTCAACACATGATCTTAATGTGTAACCATATAAATAATCTCAAAAAACTTTAAAACAAAATTTAAAATAAGTCAAAACAACAACTTTGAGATCTAATGAGAGGCTTTACATATAACTGACTCGTAAGTTACCTAAATATAGAGTGCAGCATAACATGTCGAGGGCCTAAAAAATGAAGCAACTTATAATGACTTATACTAAATATTTTTAATATGGTGAGATTAGAAAAATCATTTAAATTTCATATAAAAATAGAATTTTTAAAATCAATTGATCAAATATTAAAATAAATGTCTTTAAAATCAATTTTAAAGACATTTATTTTAATTGCTGTTTTTTATTCTAAATATTTTACGTTGGTTTTTTCATATTTTAACAGACTTTTATATAAATTTGATAACAATATTATTTTACTTTACACTTGTAAAGCTTACATAGATCAATGACTCTGATTATCCGTATCTTCTTTGAGTCCCGGTCTGTTAATATAAATCCGGTTTTTTTATGAAAACGGATTTAAATAGTTTTTTTTTTTTAAATTGCATGAAAAGCAAAATATATGTTTAAAAAATATATATAAATATATGTGTAAAAAAATATATTTTGTGTAAACTATGGATAAATATACGTAAAAACTATTTTAGTTGAAATACTAGAAAAACCTTTTACAAACCAAATTTTTGTTAAGAAATGAAATGTTTCAATCACCATTTGTTTTGTCGATTGAATCAATTGAGGATTCTCTTCTTGTCATTGACATTCTACCTTGTCTTATAATAGAACTTGTCACAGAAAACAGTCGATCATGTCGGAAAGCTTCCATCTGACAACGTTTCCACCTTTTCTCACACCAATGACGAATTAAAAAGTAGGCGAATGGATGTGTAACACTATTAAATAGTATGAATTCGTGAATAAACGGGAAAACTTTACCGATATCTAACGCTCGAAGTGCGTAAGGTACCGTACACACTGTAAACAAACTTGTGGTTGTGATACAAACCAGCGATGCTGTTTTATGAACTGACTCTTCAAACTCGTTTCTTGCGCCAATTTTTTTGTGTGTTATGTAAAATTTGTATCCATAGAAAATTACAAATATACCGTCAGAAACAAAAATAAGAATTGCCAAAACTTTATTTTCCATTCGATTCAACACCTTTTCTTTACTAAACTTTATATGGCTGCTAGCAGCTGTTGCGGCGTTGGTAATGTTTGATAAAATTAGAGTTTGATCTTTCTTAATTAAGACATGGTAGAAAAATATTATTAAAGGCGCAAGTATTGTTATTATCCATGTTATCGTGAGTGAAATGCACGTTTTGTTTCTTGTTACATAAAGATTTCGTTTAATTGGGGAAACCAATGTCCATACGTGGTCAAAAGTTATCCAAGATAAATAAATTATTGAAGCAAGTATGAAGTTATAATAGATAGCATAAAAAACTTCAGTTGAAAGTAAGTTGTTGGTATATTTAAATAAAACACCAACCGGTATCACAACGTTGCCCATACCAAATATTAAATCAGAGCAGGCAATGCTGAAGAACAACATTTCGTACAGCTTCTTTTTTCTTTTTATTCGAATGATGAAGACTATTTCAATAAGACTAAGTAGGCAAATAAGACCTCCAAACGAGATATCGGAATAAAGTTTTGTATCTTCATTTAGAATCGATAAATAAAACTGTTTTGGTGTTGGCGTTACGTAAGCTCGAGTTGAAAGTCTTGTTTGCTCCTTATGGTCCTCTTGAGAACTAATAATCATATTTTTCAATTTGAAAAAAACTCTTCTCTATAAAAGAAAATTGTTTATTTTAAAATTAAAAACAAATAAAAAAAAAAAAAAAAACGTTGATAATTGAATAATTTTTAAATTATTCCACAATTATCAGCATCCTCTCATTTCATTTAAAAGTCAATATATCGCTTTATTTCTTTTTGAAAATAAATTGTTCTAACTTTCAACAATTCGCAGTACATACGTTTTTTCTTTTTTTACTTAAATTAATATCTTTCTAAAAACTCAAACTTTTTAATTTAGGCTTGAAACTGCAACTTTCAATTAAATTTGTATAATATTTTTATTTTGTCATGTGCGTCATATTTATTTTTGTTGTGCAAAATTCTAATTATTTAATCAGCTGACCTTGATTTACGCAACTAGATTAGATCTAGCGTCTAATTATCTCTAACTAGGTGCTATTTGTAATCGTGGGATCTGGGATTGGGTTTGAAGGAAAGTCTTGATGTTTTTTTCTTTGAATAATTTGCACACAAATCAAATATTTATTATGAGTAAAAAAAAAAAAGTTGAAAAATCAATAGTTAAAACAAAATCATCACAAGATATATTTTTGTATAATTTTTTTGTAAAGTTCGTTTTTGCTCGTCTTTACTTGTGTTTACATGTTATTGAATAGATTGATTAACAATATAAAATTTTGCAATGTGAAAAAACAAAGCGGAAAACGTTTTCATCAAACGGAAACTATACAAAAACGGAAATTTATCAGAATTAAATCAACCAACCAATCAGAATTAAAAGAACAAACTTCAAAGGATGTCATGATGTATTAAATTGTAAAAACTCCGCAACAATATGCAACTATTTATATAATTATATATTGTTGCTAACATATTTTAACCTCGACGTTTAATTTACAACTTACAATACATGTCAAGATCAGAAAACAATATCAAAAACTTAATCAAAAATGCTTCATTGTACTGTGATAGCTCGTCATTAGTCATCTACATTGTCGTCTATAGGCGTTGTCAAACACTGCCTATTCATTGCAGTTCATAAATCGAAGTGTTGTTTTTTAGTCATTTTATAAAATATTACTGAAGCAAACTGAAAGTTTAAAGCGTGTGTAATCTTCAGTAGCATTTCAAACTTTAATAAATATTTTCATAAATCTCCTTTGAAATTATCAGAAAATAATTAATAATCGTAATCCATTTTAGAAAAAGTTCATATCCAATTCAAGATTGTGGGCCTTTTATTCCAAAAAAATCTCATCATTTTTTGCATAAAAAACAAAACTTTGTCACAAACAGCACTTAGGAGAACTTTGAAGCTGACCCAGTAAGCACAAATTGTTTTTAAAACG